GCGCCTGCCGGGGTCCCCGTTCCCGGGCCGCGGCTGCGCTCACGAGGGAAGGCTGCTGGGCTCGGTCGGTCGCAAGCCCGGGGCTCAGGCTGCCTCCCAGTGGGTCTGCGGCTTATGCCATATACCCAAGAGTTATACCGTTATACCCAAGATGCCCGACCGGCAGGCCAAGGCCGTCCCCGTGTCCCAACCTGCAGAGGACAGTCCTCGCGCTGGGAGGGACAGGGAACCGCCGGGCCGCGGCCAGCAGTCTCGCGTGTGGCCCCGGGATGGGCCTCGTCACCACGCCGGCGGTTTGTCGGTAAAAGTAGAGGAGATTCGAAAGGGGCCAGGCCCTGGGCACCCCCGGACTCTGGGCTCGCTCCCTCCGTCGCGGGTTTGCGCCCCTGAGTTCCGGGAAATGTTTGCGGTCCTGCCGCCACCGGGGAGCGGGCCGCCGGGGATCCGCGGGGCGGGGCGCGGGCCGCCTCCCCCTCCCGCGTGGGGCGCTTCGTTGAATGGGGAGCACGACGGAGCTGCGTAGCGGATCCTCAAATCTGCATTCTTTCGGGCGATAAAACATGCTCTCGTATTTTTTCCTGATTTCCCATTAAAACCTTTGCCTAACTAAACTCCCATCCAACGGGATTTATTTCGTCCCGGGGGAGATAAATCGGGCAAATTTACAGCCCGGAAGGCACCTGCCGCGCTAATGGGCCCTTCATGGAGTGCGCGGCCCGCGGGGGCGCGCGGCGGGCGGGGCGCTGGCCAATGGCGGGGCCGCGGGCGCCCGCAGCCAATCAGCGCGCGCGCCGCGCCGGGGCCCCGCGGTTATCAGCGCGTCCGGCCCGCGCGGCCCCGCTCCGACCGGCCCCGGAGCCGCCGCCCGCGTCCGTCCCCCGCCGCCCGCCGCCGCCCGGCCCGAGCCCGCCCCGCGCCCGCCCGCCCTCCGGGGCCGTCGGCGCCCACCGCGCCCAGCGCCCCGCCACCCCGTGCAGCGGCGCCCGCCCCGGGCCGCGCGCAAACTTTCCGGGCCGGATGGGCGCCCGGGCCGGCGGCGGCGGTGCCCATGGACGCTAACCGCCCGGGCGCGTTCGTGCTGAGCAGCGCGCCGCTGGCCGCGCTGCACAACATGGCCGAGATGAAGACGTCGCTGTTCCCGTACGCGCTGCAGGGCCCGGCGGGCTTCAAGGCGCCCACGCTGGGCGGCCTGGGCGCGCAGCTGCCGCTCGGCACCCCGCATGGCATCAGCGACATCCTGGGGCGGCCCGTGGGCGCGGCCGGCGGCGGCCTCCTGGGCGGCCTGCCCCGTCTCAACGGGCTCGCCTCGTCGGCCGGCGTCTACTTCGGGCCCGCGGCCGCCGTGGCGCGCGGCTACCCCAAGCCGCTGGCCGAGCTGCCCGGCCGCCCGCCCATCTTCTGGCCCGGCGTGGTCCAGGGCTCGCCCTGGCGGGACCCGCGCCTGGCCGGCCCGGGTGAGTGGCGCGCGCAGGGGCGGGCGGGGGGCGCGGGGCGGGGGCGGCGGCCGCGCTCACCCGCTCTCCCTGCAGCCCCGGCCGGCGGGATGCTGGACAAGGACGGCAAGAAGAAGCACTCGCGGCCCACCTTCTCGGGCCAGCAGATCTTCGCGCTGGAGAAGACCTTCGAGCAGACCAAGTACCTGGCGGGCCCGGAGCGCGCGCGCCTCGCCTACTCCTTGGGCATGACCGAGAGCCAAGTCAAGGTGAGGCGGCGCTGGCGGCCTCTCGGGGGCCCCGCCGCCCCGGGCAGACCCTCCCGCCCGCATCCTGCGAACGAAGGGCTGGCCGGCCTCCCGCCCCGGCCCGGCCCTAGAGGCGCGGCTGCCCTGCTGCAGGGGTTGGGGGGCCAAGGTGCGGGGCGCGGGGCGGGCATTTCGGGGGGCGCAGCCTGATGGCCCCCTGCACCCCCAGGTGTGGTTCCAGAACCGCCGGACCAAGTGGCGCAAGCGGCACGCGGCGGAGATGGCGTCGGCCAAGAAGAAGCAGGACTCGGACGCCGAGAAGCTGAAGGTGGGCGGCTCGGACGTGGAGGACGACGACGAGTACAACCGGCCCCTGGACCCCAACTCGGACGATGAGAAGATCACGCGGCTGCTCAAGAAGCACAAACCCTCGAACTTGGCGCTGGTCAGCCCGTGTGGCGGCGCGGGGGACCCCTTGTGAGGTCTGGCGAGGCCCGAGGGCCCGGGTGGGGCGCAGCCGGCCCTCCCCGCCTGCAGCCGGAGTTGTATATATATTTTTACAGAATAAGTTATAAAGCTGCCGGCCTGGGCCCGGCGGAATCACTTTGTATCATCAATAAATTATTTAACACGGCCCGGCGGAGCCGCGGCTCCGGCTGCACCGCGTGTTTCTTCCCGTCCTGTCTCCGCCGCCGGGCTCGCGCGCGGCAAAACCAGCCCGGTCCCCGCGCCCTGGAGCGGAGGTGGAGGGCTGATGTGGCTGCTCGGGCTTCTCCGGGACCCCGAAGGCCGGGCCCTGCGATCCCCAGGCGGGAAGGAGCCGCTGGGTGCGGCGCTGGAGGAGCTGCAAGGAGCCAGACGGAGCGGGCGCGGCGCCTGTAGGTGAGACGCGGGGCGCAGGTACAGCCTCTCCTCCCCTCCCCGGGGCTGCTGCCTGCCAGCTGGAATGAGGTTTGGGGCGGATTGAAACGCATTTGGGGGCAGACCTGCTCCCTCCCGGCCCATGGATCTGCTGGGCTGTGTATTCAAACAGCCTCAGCCACAGGAGCTGGATATTTTCAAGTATTCCCGGGCACTCATGTGGGGTGCAATCAGGGGTTTTTGGATTTCTCTGTACCATGGCCTTTCAACTCCCATTTCAGATCTTTCCTCAGTAGAAAGCGCTGCGGGTGTGGGGAGCGCTCCGGAGCAGGAGCTGGGGGAAGCGCGGTCCCGTCAGCCTTGAAGGCGGGTCATCTCTGCCAGGGGAGTGGGCTCTGCAGCTGGCTGGCTGGGGAATCAGCCGGCTCCGGGACTGGGCGCGGGGGCAGGCTTGCTCCTCCTCCGGTTCTTCCCGCCTTCTTCGGGCAGGTCCAGGGCTGGTCCTGGTACCACCACCCTGATTCTCGGTTACCACAGACCATGGCCCCGGGTCTGCATGTTGCATCTTAAGGGGCATAAGGATTGAGGACTAATTTTAAAAATTAAATGTGATTGTGTTACTCTACGATTTCTCTTGGAGGTTTTGAAAATGCTAAAGAGGAGTGTAAATGAGGCTGAAGATTTTTGGTTGTTTTGTGGGTGTTTTTTGCTTTTGCCCCATGGCTGTACCATCTGAAAAATCAGATTTTCTAAGGAACCACTGGCTGTTTTTTCTTTCTTTTTAAGGAAGCAGTGTGAAAATTTATTTTATTTCTTCAAGTGAACTATTGTCTCAGCTCAAGCTAAGAGCAAAGGAATCTCCAGTTTCAGGTGGAGGAAAGCCGTGCATTTACATAATCTCGTGTAAAAATGCCGAGGGGTGAATCCCATTAGCTACCACCGCAGTCAAAGAGCCAAAAGATTACTTTCCCCGCTCTTAATTCTCAGCTTAGTTTGCGTGATGGTAAATAATGGAATGAAAGTAATTCCAGGATTTCTAACGAGCTTGGTCTGCAACAGGCTGAGTGAGGAGGGCACAGCCCTGCCACTCAGCATTTCGGAGGACAAACGCGGGAAGAAGACGACAAAGCCAGGCATCACTGCGTTCACCATGATCAATTTTATTGCTTAGGAACCGGAGCGGTCATTTCTAAAGGCCTCCACAGTGACCCACAGCTGAGACCCCGCTGAACAGAATCACCGCTTGGACGTGGACGGCACAGGGACCGCCCTGACCCAGACCCCCGTATTGTCAAGAACACAGATTCGGCAAGCGGACCCCGCATCACTTGCACTGGTAGTGACTGACCTAACAGCGTCTGCCTGCGGCCTCCAGCCCAGGACTTAGTAGTGTTCTAGACAGATGAGTAAACGCACGGCCTCTGCCCCGCGGGCCCCGGCGGCTGGGAGAGTGTGGGCAGCACGGATCTGCGTGGGGCGCTGGCAGCGGAGCCCGGGACGTTTACAGTTCTGTTCCTCTTAATGTTTTTATGTACAGCCCATGTTAAAAGCAGTTTCTACTGGAAGCGAACTAGGCTATTTTTACTTCTCCCATGATATTATTGTTTTATGTATAATACTTGGCACCATAGAACAGTAACAAAAGACAGACAAAACGGTTTACAAAATTCTTAAAAGGTACAACCAAGCCGGCTACGACCTTCACATTCAGGTCTAATATTACACAGGGAGAAGGCAGAGGAGCGACGGCTGCTAGTGTAGCCAGGTGTCCTGGCGCTGATCACCCACGATGCACTGCCCGCCACATCACCTGGTCTGCAGGTATGTGTGTGACCTTCACATAACTGAACTAGACTCCAATTCTACCCGCTGGTATGACTCTCTCAAGCATTCATACTGAAAAGCATATTTAGCATAAGTTTTGGTAAGATTTATAAATTATTTTAAAAAGTATATATTTATATATATTTATATATAAAACTGGGAAGCAGCTGCAGTGTGATTCAGACACCATGTACATGGCAGTGGAAGGAACGACACAGGAGGGGCCGTCGGCTGGAGCCAGGGCTCTCACTGTCCTCACAGTGGCCACGCTGCCCGAGTCAGCACAGAGCCTGCTCCCGCCCGGGCGCGCCTCCAGCTGGCAGAGGGGACATTTGACACCCGTGGGGTTCCCACGCTGACAATTATTACAAACTGAAAACCGTGAAGTCTAAAATACAGAATCTCTGCTGTCTATTAGAGTTTTGGCAACAGGACTGTGACTTATTAAAAAACCCAATATTTCTACTTAATGTCACACGAACAGACAAGACAGTGAGGTATGTGAGCTCCCCGGAGGGCCGGAGGCTGAAGCGAAGTGTGGGCCGGCCGGCTAGCGGGTGGCGCTCGGGCGGGTTAATCGATGCAGCTGTTGAGTGTGGATTTCCATGGACGCGACTTCCATCTGCTCCTCACGCTACAGGCAGGGCTCGCGAAGGGTCCTCTCGTGTCGCTGGCATCGCCTCCCTGCAGTGGAACCAGTGGTTTGTTAAAGGGACAGACACATCGGGGAAAAAGCTCAGAAAAGTAAACTCAAGGGAAGGAGCCATATTTACCACACGTCACTGCACGACACAACACTTGTGCACGTGTGCGTGAGCTTTACCTGCCCCGGGCGCCACGCGGAAGGCCAGGAACACGGGCTGCAGCGGGAGAAGAGGAGGGCGTCAGAACCCAGGCAGCCTGCGCCGCACCCACCCTCACCCTCGCCCTCGCCCTCGCCCTCGCCCTCGCCGCTCTGGGCTGCCTGAACTGAGGAGCTGGTGACCTTGGGGCCAAGGCCGGTTACCCAGTTGTGCATGGAACCCAGCTGATGTGAAAGGAAGCCAGGCTGGATGACCAGGGGCTCAGGCAAAGTGCCTTCATGGTTTGTAAAGAGGTATTATTTCCAGATAAAAACTAAGGTTAAAACTGATGTAAAGACTGCTGGCTATGCCCCAAATAATGGGGGTGGGGCAGAGTTCCCGTCCTCGCCTGGGTCCACCCTGTCGGGCGTCGGTGTGGGGCTGCGTCTCAGGGTGCTGCCCAGTGGTCTCCAAAGCGGGAAAGCTGGAGGCCTCTGTCTCCCTGGGGAAGGGCCACACCTGGCGCCAGCACAGCCCGCAGTGAGGATGCTGGGCTCAGGGGCAGGAGGCTCGTGTACAAAGTCAGTCCCTGGAGAGCTGACTGACGCTCGCCTGCCTGCGGAGACTGGCTCGGCATAACAACAATAAAACCCCTCAAATGCACACTCGAGAAATGGCCTAAGAAATAATCCTCGGAGACACAGTATAGATGTAGATATTTTACAGAGTTAAATTGTGTATTTTACTCTATTGTGACTGGTCCTTTCTGCCCTCTTTTCTACCCACCTACCTATCTACCCTCCAAGCTGCCGACCACCGGGTATTTTATTAAAGTGAAAACAGACAGCGTGGCCTGTCCTGTGCGGCCAGACCCAGGAGGCAGAGAAGCAGCTGCCAGCCCTGCAGGTCCATCCCTGCAGAGGGCCCCCCCCCCCCCCCCAGGGGCTGCCGCTTCACCTTGTGGTCTCCCATGCAGACGTTGGGCCCGATGTGGTCGTAGGTGACAACCTTCTCCTCACTCTCCGACTGGGAAAAGCAAACAGAGGGTGCGGTGTGGGAGGCAGGCATGGCCAGCAGTCCAGGCCCGTGAGGGAGTGGCCGGCGGCGGAGGGTGGAGGCTTCTGGCAGCCGTGGCAGCACCTGGGCACCCCACGCCCACTGCCCACCACCTCCCGTGCCTGACAGACTCCTGATTTTGGGTTCGAGCTTGGTCCTGGCAATCTGGCAGCCCTGACTGGGCCGGGACTTCACCCACAACTGAGGCACCTGGGACTACAGCTAAAGCTGCACCCTCTTCGATGCAGCAGGAAGCTCACAGCCAGGTTTACGCTGCCGCCTGCTCACCTGCCAGGAAGTGAGCCCTCCCATTCCTCACCAGCGCAACGCTGCCCCACATGTGGGGCCATTCATCAAAGGCGGCGTGGTAATTTACAAAGGCAGCATAAAATTGCAGGTTTCCACTGCATAAGCCTGAGACAGATAAACAAATGACGGGGCGCGGCACACCTCGCTGAGCATCCATCACCGGCTCCAGGCAGCCCCGCCGCCCGCCACCTCCAGCGCTGTTGGGCGGGAGGCAGACGGGACATGGTGACGAGGAAACCGAGCGTGGCATGATGGATGAGGCTGAGGAAGCAGCTTGGCGCGTCTGTGGCCTGTAACGCCCGCCGCCCAGCATCTTCCAGGGCATCCAATCTCGTCCCCCAAACCGGAGGAGACGTGAATGTAAACAGTCTAGAACAGGGCCTTCCGCTCAACTGCCTTGAGCCCTGAGCACAAGCACGGCCTTGTGCCAGCGTTGGTGTAAGCCCTCGAGCTGTCTTAGTGCAAAATGCACTTTTCCAGGTAGGTGACACCTGTCTTATTCCTGTTCTGGCCGACAGCCTGTGCTCAGCTTGCCCATTAGGCGTGAGCTCTGCCTACAGGTGGGGGGAGTGTGTGTGTGTGTGTGTGTGTGTGTGTGTGTGGCGGGGGGGGGGGGGGGAGGGTGCGCTGCCAAGGCTCCTGGCCCCGCCCTCAGAATGAGCCCTCAGAGTAAGCACCAGCCTCTGGCTCAGGCTTCCTCCCCAGAGTGCTCCAGGCTCAGGGTCCAACCCTCACCAAAAAGGCGAGCAGCACCTCTTAGTGGGGACTGCGGGTCCAGCTAAGCAGGGGTCATGGGGCGTGTTTGGGGCAGCACATGAGCACTCTGCCCTCCTGCCTGCAGCCCATTCCCAGTGGGTCAAGCCCAGGCTCTGGCACAGGAGCACAGACAGGACCAGCTGGTGCAGCCCAGGGGCGTGGTGGTGGGTCGCCGTGTCCCTGCCCTCTCCTACCCACTGCCTATGTCACACAGGCCGCGAGAAACAATGCTGGCCATTCTTACCATTTTTCATGATTATATTGATGGGGTTGACAAAACCAATTCAGATATTGACTCTTTTGAAAACATTCCTTTTGTGTTAAAATGTGGGAACTGAAAAATCCTGAAAAGTCAAGAGGCTACAGGAAACCTGAAAAATTTCCCACTATCACATCTCACAGGGCCCAGACCCCGGCTCTGCCCACAAGCCCCCCAGCCCGAGCACTGGCCCTGCGGAGACCGAGGTCAGGGCTCGCCCACCACTTACCCTCAGAATCAGCTCCTTGGCCGACGGGGACATGAGGACGCGGTCGCACCAGGCGGGGCACCGGGTGTTCATGTACTGCCTGCCCTGGCTGCTATCCTCACTGTACGGGTAGCTGCAGAAACAGGACACAGCAGGTCAGAGCTGCCGGCTCCAGCCCCTCCCGGCCTCTGCTCCACGTGCACAGGGACTGTTCGGATTCTCTCCTGAAGGCCCTGAGGATGGTGGCCAATGTGATCCAGGGAAAGAACACCCATACAGAAGTTTCTGGAACAAATTCAAACTCAATTTCTTAAAAGAAATGAGATCATCTATTACCTTTGCTTTTGTTTCTGGACATGGTCTGAAGTACAGTAGAATGCATGGGGAAATGGCGGCAGGACCTCACGTACCCTGGTAACGCGACGTGCCCAGGCCCCACCTGCACCCCAGTGACTTGGCAGGTGACTCTGCTGTGGGACGCTGGCCCAGAGGGACCCTGCGGAAGCCGGGGCCCAGCCTGGCCACATGCCCTCTCCCCCACAACCTGCTCCCTCCTCAGTTCTCATCTCAGGTAGCGCCCAGGTGCCCAGGCCATGGCCTTGGGGGTCATCATTGTGGTGAAGACTGTCCCTCCCTGGCTTTGCAGGCCTCACTTCACTGACCGCTTGGCCACCGGCAGAGGCCTAGAGGCTCCCTCAGGAACAGAGCCATCGCAGCCACCCAACGGGCCAGCAAGTGACGCCAACATGGTGAGAACCAAGAGGGTGCCACCAGCCCCAAGGATGGGCCTGGGGCCACCAGCTGTGCACAGTGCTTTGTCCTCAGACACTGGCTACCTATTCAGTGTCCTGCAGCCGCCTGTCCAGGCCCTTCATGTCCCTCCACCTGCGGGCAGCTCCCTCCCGTTTCTGGAACTCACTGGGACAGTCTGCCTCAGGGCTGCACTGCCCCACGGGCCTCCCCGGTGCCTGTGAAACCGCTAGCCCCGCCCGCGTGGACACTGGTGGGGACTGGGTGCCGTTATAACCAAGGACTGAGCCTGGGCTTGTGGAGGGAGCCTGGCTGCTCAGTGCGGACGCCCTTAATGTGTGCGCCTTGCACGGCCTTCGCTCGGGACGCAGGGGAAGTCCCATGTGTTTGTGTAGTTCATTCCAAAACACGCTATGGTGTTTGCCGTGAATGGCACCTTATTCTCTATTAAATTCTCAGGAAAAGAGAGGAATGTGATTGGCTCTCTGGGCTGCTCCTGTCGGGGGCACCTGGCCACCTCCCGGTCCCTCCGCTCTGGGCCATGAGCCCCACGTTGTTCCTGTGCCGAAAGCACTGAACAGGTGGTTGGGGTTCGCACAATACCTGGTATTTCTGCCCAATTCACTGGTCCGCCCCACAGGCGCTCACCAGAGATCTGTGGCCTGAGCCCGTGCGGAAAACCCCTGCTTTACTAACCAGAGACCCAGTGCGGCGAATGGTAAATGGCTGCACGGTTCCCATGCCCAACACCACAGCCCAGCACGGCTCCCCCCAACTCCTTCTCAGGACAGCACAGCTGCTCCCCAACTTCTTCCCAGGACAAGCGGCAGCGCGTGCCAGCCTGTCTGCACATCACAGGCGCCTTGTTCAGGGCTTCTCAGTTTAACCCGACGGCGACCTGCCATGCCTGGGGCATGCTATCCAGTCAGGTGCCTGCGGTGGGGCCCACACAGGCCTTCCCCTTTCCAAAGGGACAACCTGCTCAGTCACTAAGCACCGCCCCCCTGGGGGCAAAGGTCAGGGAGAGGTCAGAGGTCCTGCAGGCTTGGAGCCCACCACCAGCTGGTCTGTGCAGGTTGGGAGGGTTTCTGCTAAGAAGTGGCTTCGAACAAGTTTACCCAGAGGGAGTCTATGGCCCTGGGACGTCCTGATGGCCCTGCCTCTGCCACCCCGGGCCTGCTTCGTCCCGCAGCCAGTGCTCTGGTGGCCTCTGAGCCGGATGAGGGGAGTCAGGTGCCTCCTGCCACCTCCGGAGCATCCCATCGCTGCCCTGTGGTGCCGTGAGGGGTGTCCAGTCACGTGGCTCCCCGGCCTCAGCCCCGTTTGGGGCTTCAGACGAGGGGCAGGTATGTGGCCAGACGCGCTCCCAGGAGTCGAAGGAGCCAGGCTGCACAGGCCACGCGGGGACGCAGTCTAGACAGAGACAGGGCTGACGTCCACCGGCCCAGGAACCACGTTTCTCCTCAGCGGCAGTGTGACCCTCTCCCTACAGAAACTCCCTTCCAGAAAGCACCTGTGGCCGGTCGGGTCCTGCCTGAGGCTGACGAACCCCGGACCACGGTGCGGGGCAAATCCAGGTGCAAATCCAGCAGGCCTGGCGTGAACAGCTCCCTAAGGCGGCTGTCAGTAGCTCTGTGAGCGATGGCTCCGTGCACACCTTGGAGTCGAGATAGTGTGCTGGGCCTGCCTCCTCTCTGTTCCCGGGTGGGGGTCTGAGAGCCCAGAGTGATGGTCAGCCCTCACCCCCAGAACCTGGGGCTTCCCAGCCACTCCCAGGACCAGGCTGGGAGCCAAGAGGGCGCTGCTTGTCTGGATGGGTCTGGGGAAGCCAGCGTAGCCCCGAGGAGGGGAGCCTGGTGCTGCCACGTCCTTCCTCTCCCTGGCCAGGCGCTGCCTAGGCCAGCCCAGCAGCAGGGCGCCGGGGCCTGCTCCCTGGGGAGCTGACAGTGATTAATTTGGTGCTTGCTGTGCACTCAGACTTATCTGAAAGCAAACCCCATGCAGGGTGGGGACGCGGACAGCGGAGGAGAAATCGCCGTAATGAATGGCAGGGTGATAAAGCTAACAATCGCCCACCTGTCCTTGGGGCCTCGCCCTCCCTCCCCCTGCACCCCAGGATGTGGGCAGTGGCCCCTTTGCTGGGGGACCAGCCCTACCCACAAGGCTCAGGCCTCCATGTGAGCAGGCTGGGGCGTCACCAAGGCCGAGGCCAACACACAAAACCCTGCTGTGCTGGCCAGGCTGACTCTGCAGGCATCTCCTGGGCCGCCCAGCCTCAGCAGGAAGGGGCCTTCCTGAGCCAGCCCCACCAGGGGCAGAAAAGGGGGTGCTGTCCTGCTCCTCAGGAGGCTGAGGACAGGGCCCTCGAAATCTCCTGTCCCCATATCACAGCCCTGCATATCACAGTTACAGAGAAATGGTGAGGGAGGTGTCTCTAGAAGCTATTCCTACGTTCACAGCCCGGGCTCAGATACATGGTTTCCACACACATCAGGTGTTACTGAAGTTCCTAGAAAAGCAAAGCAACAAACTAGACTCAAAGGAAGACGGAAGGAGGGTGGCCACATGGAGACTGCCCAGTGCGGGGAGTCAGAGGCGAGGGAAACTGGGGCCCGGGGACATCGCGGGTCGCCTGCTTTTCCTACCGCTGGTTCTCTGACCCTCACCGCTCCGCGCTTGGTCCTGAGCATCTGCATGGGCAGCGTCCGACCAGCGCTCAGGGACCGGCGGGACAGATGGGCGTCCGTGCTCCCTCCTGAGCACCAGGCCTGGCAAACGGCAGCGAGCTCATCCTTCTTGCACGGGGTTTACAATGTTACTCGTGTGGTTACAGATATAAAACCATAGATGTCACGGCTCACAGAACGTTTGAAAAGCCTCCTAATTCTTAACTTAAAAACAGGTGTATCTGTTGGAGGGAGAGCTTCGTGCAGACAGGTGGAACTGCTGCTCTCGGCTGGCTCCTTTCCTCAGGCCGCGGGAAGGGCCAGAGGACTGGTGTGCAAGGGGCACGGGCGCCCGAGAGGACAGTTACCTGCTTGTCCAGCAGGTGCTCCTTACCTGGGAGGGAACGAGATGTCCAGTTCATACAGCCTGTCCTTAAAGACAGACAGCTCTTTGTCAAATTCTAGGAGCTGGAGAAAGAAAAGGAAGAAAAGGAAGTCACGGGTGCGCCTGTCTGGGGCATCGCAAGGTCACGGGGTGTGGTGGTTGGAGGGGCAGGGGCCTTGGAACTTTCAGGAACACGTGTTGCCCCATAGTTGACTGGCCTGTGTGCAGGCCACCCCCTCCCGATGAGAGCCACCGAGTGGTGTCTCTCATCACTAAGGGCCCGTAGGTGCCCAGCAGCTCTCTGCCAGTGGTGTCTCTCATCAGCTAAGGGCCCATAGGTGCCCAGCAGCTCTCTGCCAGGGCCCCAGTTCATCTGGCCCCGGAACCCGCACGCCCATTGCTGAGCAGTTGCCACCCACTGCAGCCACGCGGTGCAGCGGGTGGGGCAGGCCGGGACAGAGGCAGTGTCCTGAGGAGGGCACCCCATTCCCATTTTGCCCAAACTCAGTCAGAGGTAAGCAGTGTCCACCTCACGTAGGAGCTGATAAAAATGGCCCCGGTTCGCATACCCCAGAGAGCATGGTGCCCAAGAAGGAAGGGCACCACAGTGTCTGGCCACACTGGGCTGTGACGAGCCGTCACCACACATGCCTTCGGGATGCATTCATCAATCATGTCCCCTCGCAGCTGGGTGGGAGCGTGGCCTCGTGCAGGGGCTCCCCTCAAAGCCACCTCATCCATCACCCCCGAAGCGTGCGATTGCAGCGCCGTGTACACAGTAATTACCGCGTGCCAGGCTGCTACCTGAGCACGGTAGGCAGCCCCCGCCCCCCCTGCCCCACCGTCCCCTGCTGGGAGAGAGGGTGGCAGAGCGGAAACCCCCCGGGCAGGAGCTGGCGGTGGCACTTACGCTCTGAGAGGAGTGACCCATAGCTCCCATGCACAAAGGGGACCGTTTCCACAGCTTCAGAAATCAGCCGCACATTCCTCAGACCCCGTCATGGAGAGCCTCACACCCTGCCTGGCGAGGCTCAGGGCCCAGGGCTGGGGGCCTGGACCCCACGGGGCCATGTGAGCCCACATCTGCTGGTGAGAAATGTTGGGGGAAACCTCACCGGCTAAACGCTGCCCAGCGGCTAGGGCCCTGTGTCCTGGGGGATGGTGCCAGGGAGGAGGCCGGGGGAGGGAGAGGGGGAGGGAAGGAGAGGACTCTGGCTGAGAGTGAGGGAACATCTCGGGGACTGAAGTGCACCTTCAAGGGGAGGTGTGCACATGGGTGTGGACCAGTCCTGAACGTAAGTGTGTGTCTGTGCTTACAAATGTGTTTACATGCAAGTGTGTACTGGAGACACTGTCCTCTACAGTCCTCTCTCTCTCTCTCTCTCTCTCTCTCTCTCTCTCTCTCTCTCTCTCTCTCTCTCACACACACACACTCACACACACACACCACGCTCCAATAAGCACAGGCGGGCAGTTTGTCAAGGAAGCTGGAAAACTCCGGGAGAAGCAGCTGGCGAGGCCTGAGCAGTTTCCTGTTCCTGTTCCCAGCTCCACTGAACAAGGCCTGGCAGCCCTGCGGCCTCCTAGCCGCCCCCTGACCCCCATCTGTCTGGGGACAGCATTCAGGGATGGAGCCCCCTGAATCTCACCCATATTCCACTTGTTAAGGGTTTAAGTAAAAAGAACAACAAATAAATATCTGGTTTGGAATGAACTGGAATCTTCCAGCTGCTAAAACAGGAGCAGCGCCAACCTGGGGAGGAACCAACCCTCCAGAGTCCTCGTCCCCAGGTGCCCTGCCAGTCCTCCCTGCATCACAGCCACACCCACTCCACCCTAGGGGCTTGCCAACAGGGAATGTTCCGGAACGCTCCTTCGTTCTGACTCCATGTGGGAGCATGGAGCCTCTGCTGTGCCAGGGGCTGTGCGGACCACCCAGGCAGTCTCCACAGTCCAGGCTTTCCGGGGGAGAAAGGCAGAGGCTAATTCCATACCCACACCAACAGATGCCCACCTGTGTGGTGACTGCTACAGCGTTCCTAAGCCCTGATGCTGGCCACCAGACCCCAAACCTGGCCACCCTGGGCAGGGTGGCTGTGGGGCCAGGTCGGCCCGCTGTTTGGCTCTGACAGGTTGGCAGGACCCTCCCCTGTGGGACCAGCATGAGGACGATGCCCCGAGTGCCAGGGCATGGGGTCTCTGCACCCCGAGCCACGCAGAACGATGGTTCGGGAGCCCACAGCAGGCACCACACACCGGCTGTGAGCTGCTTCTGATTAGAAATTATGCGGCATGTCTGTGGATCATTTGTATCTCTTTGAGATTTTTCACAAACATGATAACCAATTCCGCATGTGTCGCAAACATTCTTCTTGATTACAAAGTGAAAAACAGCGCAGGGCGGTGTGGACAATGATAAAGCAGCCGGCTGATCATATGTATCTGTCAGGAGCTATGCCGGCCACACAAATTCCACTGTTGCTGCCGAGACGCAGCGCTGATAAAGAAAAGCGCCGAAAATCAATGAGCCCCGAGCTGGAGCAGCTGCTCAACACACAGCAAACACCTCCACCAACAGGCCGAGCGCCGCGGAAATCCCCAGGCCGGCCGGGACAGCCCAGGGAAATTTAATCTCTCCAAATCCTCGCCAGGGCACTCCATCCTGCAGCCTGACAGCCACACTTATAATTAATTATACAATTTCGATGGGAATATCGACTAAACAAAGCTATAAATCATAGGAAAAGTCAATAGGCATGGACACATTCAATCATGTCCCGGCCAATGATTACTACTCTTAAAATACAATAATTATTTTCAGGAGCCAGCTTGAATTAAATTTCTGTCAGGCGGGTACAAGACCAGTGGTTGATGAAGGATGCGATGGATTTTGGGGCCGCGTCCGGCACGGGCACATCCATCCTGCGATGGTGGTTTGTCCCAGAGGCCGGGCGGCTGCCTCACGGCGGAGGGGAGAGGCCCAACAATGGCTCGTCACCCCACTTATCTTGTCCTCCAGGTGGACCGAGTGACCTCGTTTCCTGCGTGTGACTGACGTGAGGGTGACCCTCGACATGCCCAGTGGCCCGGGCAGTGTGCACGCACACCTGTGGGAGCCTCCGAGGGCCGAAGCCGCTGTTTTGCAGGTGCAGCTGCGGGGGCTGCACTAGCTGGCCACCCAGGTCTCAGAGAAACCGCGGGACGCAGCCCTCAGGGGCCAGGCCCCCACAGCCCGCCCCCTGCTACCTGAGGCTCCTGAGTGACGCAAGGTCATGGGTGAGACAACAGAACTCACCGCAGTGCCGTTGTCGTCTCGGAAAACCTCCTGGTTGAAGTAGTCGAACAGTTTCTTTTCCAGCTGCAGCATCACCTGCCAAGGACGGGGCCGTCAGCACAGGTGGGGCAGAGCGGGGCTCAGGCCCAGGCCCAAGCTCCCAGCTCGGGGGTGGCCGTGGTGGCTGCCATGGGCCACCCACCCAGAGGGACAGGGTCTCACCTTCCGGTCGTTGTCTGACTCCCGGAAAATCAGCTTCACGACTTCGTTGGTGTCAGCGGCCCGGACCGTCTGCATCGTGGCCTTTGTGCAGAGAGTCTGGGAAAGACACAGAAACTTAGTCCCCTGCCTGGCTGCCCGCAGGCCCATCCCCTCAAAGCAGTCCGCTCTTTTCCTGATCTCTGTCTGCAGCCCCATCCTTTCGTCTCCCCCTTTCACAGTTCCCTGTGGAGGGACCCCAGAGCAGGTCCCCAGCGGGGCCTGAAGGCAGGCCTATCTCCTTACCCCGACCTGCACTCCACGGAGCGTCCCGCTCAGCGGCTGGGCCCTGGCCAGGAAGACCTGGACTGAGAACAGCCTGAGTGAGCAGGAGGGCGGACGGAGTCACAACCAGCCATGGCCCGGGGCCGCTGAACAGGACCCGGAGGGCGTCACGGCCAGAGGGAGGAGGACACCAGTCCTGACGGAGGGGAGGGCGGCGGCTGGGCAGCAGCGGGGACAGGGAAGAACGGCGCTGTCACCCTCCAGGCTAGCATCTGATTGGCTAAGAACTAAACTAAATCCGGGCTTGTTTAGAAAAGTCTTCTGTCTTTGCCTGTGTATGTGTGCGCATATGTGTGCTCATACGCAGATCACGTGAGCCCCTCACTCCCTGTGGCTCGGAGGGGCATGAGAATGCAGACCGACTGGGAAGGCCACTTAGGACATACATGTAATAGAGGAAGTGCAGGACATGCTCAAAGTGTCCAAGTGCTGCGGACAAAGCAGGGCTCTGAAGGGCCGACACCCATGTTCACACGTGTTGGCAGGATGGGATGTTGACAGGATGGGGGAACAAGTCACGTGGGGAACGTCTGAGACAAGCAGGCTGGTGTCCGGGCTGGTGGGTATGATGTGGAGGCTCACTGGTTGTGGCTTAGATATAAATACCCCAGGAAAGCTGCTTTTCAAAAAAAAGGGCTAGATGGTGTTTGTTTTTAAAAAGACCACTACGAGGAAATAACCACTTCTCTCTTTTTAAAACCCTTTCCTCTGCGCGGCCCTGGTGAGGTCCTGGTGCTGAGCAAGCCTGTGCCCTGGAGAGCGGGAGCCCCAGGTCCTGGGCTGAGCCTGCAGGTGTGAGCTCTGCCAGCCCAGTGCTGGCCGCAGACCCTCCCGGTGCAGCGCCAGCCCCAGCCCCAGAGCACAGTCCGGGACAGGCCATTGCCGTTCAGCGCACAGATCAGCTAAGCGGGTCAAGCCCCCAAAGTGGCTTTTGGACTCATGTGTCACAAATCAGTCTGGGGCCTTCAAAGGGCGCGGATTAGAACAAGCCGCACAATTCCGAGCAGAGCGGCCCCCCTGCCCACCCAGTGCAGCCGAGGAGGTCGCTCCATCCAGATGCTAATGTGCCTAAGTGGCTTAAGTGCTTCCGTGAAGGGGGGATGGGCTGGCTGGGGCAGTGGACCCACAGCCATTGTAGCCACCGGGGGGGGGGGGGGGGGGGGGGACGGGACACGGACAACGACGATTCAAGAAATTCATGGTTTTCTTCCCAAAGGCATCTGCTGGCAACTTTTCACAGAACTGCTTTATCTGCCACTTTGGGCGGCTCCCAAAGGATAAACATCTGATTGTGCCTGGTGAAGGCCCCCTCCTTCTCTCCCCCCCACCCCAAGCCCCCAGCTCCTCATTCACCAGTTTGAAGAAGTGATCAGCCACCAGGCACTTCCCGCCTGCAATCTGCAATCCGCGTGCCCACTCATGCGGAGACGCGCAGGCCGGCCTTTCCGGCTCACCTTTTACAAAAGGGGTTTTACTCTTTTGAAAGGAGAAAAAGTGCCCAAAATGTTGGCTTTAAAGGGCTATCCAGGGTTTATTTCATTATTAGCAGCCACACGCGGGCGCAGGCGAGGGCTGCCTGGCACCTGTCTGGCTGTCACTCGGAGCGCCTGCTGCTTCTCTAGGCCTTTCAGGGGTCTCGCCATGGCACCTCTCCTCAGGGCCTGCTGCATGGAGCCTGGTGTGGGGCGTGTGGTGCGCTTCGGAGCTTAGGACAAGGTGCCTCCTTTAGAAAGTTCTCGGGTTCAGTGTCCTAAAGTTTGCTCTGTTTGTAAACATCAACCAAAAAACTTATAAAGAGACTTAAAACTCTCTGCCAGGAACAGGTACAGGCTCTTAGGGAACGAGTCCATGGCCCAGAGGATTAAACTCTTCTCCTTTCCTAATTGAGACCTGAAGAGAATAACACCGTGCCACCTGCTTCTGCCTGGACACGCCCACAACCACCACCCGTCATGGGCCAGCCCACAAAGTACAGGAGCTGGAGGGCCAGGTGCCCCTGCCCCGGGCAGTGGGAGCCCCTGGAGGGAGCTGGCCCCAGCGCTCTGGAGCGCCTGCGGTCTGGCCCCGGGGGCCGGGTTGGGCTGGTGGGTGGGCCTGAAGGTGCATTGTACCACCTTTCACGCCATCCCTCTCCACATGACCCTGCTGCAGAGCTGACACCGCTGACAATGCATACAGAAGAACACGCCGTCCCCTCAGAGCATGAAATCGGACACAAAGGCGAGGGACAGAGGGAAGCGGCAGCCCGGCCGCCTGGTGTAATTTCAGCCACAAACATGTTCACAGGCCCTACCTCCGGGAAAGCGGGAAGGAAAAGCGTGTAGAATAAATGGGCCTCCAAAGAAGGTCTTCAACAGCTTTAACAAAGGGGCCAAGGATGCAATCAGCCTGAGGATGAACACGGATGTCACCATGGACCCAGACACCGGATGGAGGTGCTGGCACTTTGACAACAGGGTTCAAGTGCAGAACCATGGGTGCGGCCAGGCCTGTACTTCTCAGTTGTAATTTGTGCCAGCATCTCTGAGACTTTCCTAAAAAAAAGATGACAACGAAAGGACAGCAAAACCGCACTTAGGAAGCCACGGTGTGGCAGACGTGACTGGCCCACGTCTGGCTGATCAGGGGCAGATCTCTGACGGAAGAATTCAGACGGGGCCCTGGTTTCCAGGCAGCCATCTACCTCCTTCTACTTGGCACAGAGCCTGGAGCTGGTCAGAGAGGGTGTGCGCCCTTCTGAGGAGGCGGGCTCTGCCGTCTAAAGGCGGGGGCCTGGATGACCTTGGGAGCATGCAGGTGTGAGTGTGACCTTCTGGGGTGGGGCCCCTGAGCTCTGTCCACTCACAAGGAGCTGAAATGGGTAACAGAGAATGACCCTTCAACAGTCTCTGCCCAAATGCCGCCAGCCCATTGGCCTTAATTAACAGCCTTGCTCAGGACGTAGCTCCCAGCACCCACCAAGAGGCTGCCGCCTTCTGGGAGCAGGGACTTGTCCACCAAGCCCCAGAGACCCTGACGCTAGGCCATGTCACTCCCACCAGCTCGCCCTTTCCACTGGCCTCACTGGGGCCCCCTGGCATCTACCCTTGGGGGATAGAGGTGCCAGTGGACACTAACAGTTAGCTGTTGGGTTAAAGAAACTAGCCTCACGCTCCAGGTTCCCACTGAGAGGACACACGCGCTTTCTCAGTGCTGTGTCCCGTGGAACCACCAAGGCCAGCAGCTTGCAGGTACCCAGGCGGGGCAGTGCGCCCTGGATGGCCCATCTGCCCTTTCCCTATGCCTGAGTCTTGGGGTTTCTTCCCTTCCCTGCCAGTGGCCACTGGGAGGTGAATTCTGCAAACTGTGAGGAGACGCTTCACTGAAGAGTTGGCCAAGCAAAGGCACGTCAGTAAAACGCACAAGGTCCCGCTGTTGTGCTAACCTGCTGCTTTTGGTTAAATTCTAGCCATAAAAATGCCTACAGGAAGGGGTGCATATAAACATTCCAGCTAACATCTCCGAGAAGGATTTCCAAAAGGTGGTTTACAAAACAAGACCAGAGTCTGTCCATAAGTTTCCCTTAAAATGTCTTAATGGAAAATCACTAACTTTTAAATTTAAAGTTTTCAAGAGACTCTAGAAAACAGGAACCACTCCAGAAGAGCACAGACTTTCATGCTGTGACTAATCCTTGCAGGAACGCTGACATCAGCAGGTGGGGGTCTTGCTGTATCGTGTACGTAGTTGGTCAGATCAACAGAGCGCTCTGCTGCCCAGCGGGGAGTGTGCCAGTCCCAGCCCGGCGGCCGGCCTCCTCCCGGGGCCAAGGGATTACGGTTGCATCTTGGACACTCCAGAGCCCGCCAGCACCAGCATGGGAGGTGGTCGGTGTCCGTGCTGGGCATTGGGAAGTGGGTTCAGAATTAAAACATCAAGTCAGACAGATAGACAGTCATCCTCGTCACCCGGATTTCTGTCTGAGTTCTAGGAACACCGGACAAGCATTATTGGCTTGGCGACGAATAATGCCTTGGTAACTAATGTCCCCAGACATTATTTCAAGTCCTAAACATATTCCAACAGTAGACAGGAGGACAATAATTAAATCGCTTAACGGATGGCTCTGAAACGGAAATCAGTTACAACTCGCTGTGGTCATCGGTGACGTATGGATCTGAGAAAAAGTGCTCAGACAGAGGAATTCTTTGACAGCCCCTGATGGCTAGACACATGCTGTGCCCTGAAAAGTAAGTGCCCATCGGACAGGCACCCGCTGCTGCCCACGCTGGCCGCTGACTGAGGTGAGTCTGCTGCGCCTGGAGGCGCCGAGCAGGCCGCTGGGAGCCTTGAAGAGGAAAGTGGCCAGCACTCAAAGCAGCAAGGTCACACAGATGCCACTCGGCCTGCGAAGGGAATGGCACAGCTCAGTAACATGTACGTGCACATGACTGAATGAACTCTGGCCAAGGTAGCACCCTCTTTCCTATCATGCTCAGGCACACACATGTGTACATGCACATGGACACATGCACACACAGGCACAGCTCCTGAGGAGCAAGGGGAGACCTGGCTGCAGGCAGGGTGGGGCCTCAGTGAAGCAGGCACCACAGTAATTTCCTCGGATTCGGGATCAGGGTGATCTGCTCGATGCAGACAGGACTGTCCTGGGAGGGACCTGGGAGGGACCAAGATTGAGTGGGGAGGCTGACCCTGTCAGGTGTGCCCTCTGCCCTGTGGACAGGCACTGCTGCTTCCCGTAGCACGTACCCAAGACACACCATTCCTGTTACTGA